AAATCATACCAAAGCAAGATGGAAACAGTAGGGCAAGCATTAAATGAAGCTCTATTTCCAGCACCCAGGGCAGGTTGTGGTGAAATGTGAGCTCCACAGGACTTGGAAAGCCCCATCCTTATGGCCTTGCTAGTTGGAGCATACATAGCTTCTCACTTGTGCTGGCTATACTTACTGCCTACAGCTTTCCTCAGCTCATGGCCCACATTCCTGTGATCTTCCATATGCTAGGGGCTCCACTGCACATTTGGCTTCACTCTCACGGCTTCACGCACTGCCCTCTCATGGGCTTCTGGCAGGGACTGTGAACCTGTCAGACATTTTTGCCTGGCCCCCCAGGCTTCCTGCAATTTGGGTGGAAGCCTCTGTGACCTCATAACTTTTGCATTCTGCCTACCTGAAAAACCAGTGCCACGAGGATGCTGTCAAGATCACCTGACAGCTTGAGCACTAGCTGGAGCCCCTTGGACCATGGCTGTAGTGGCTCCCGAGTCCCTGGATGGCTGAACTTTGGGATACACTTCCCTAGGCAGCCCTGAATGAGCAGCTTCTCAGGGTCTCTCTTCTCCAATAAAGCTTTACAGTTTTGTAGCTTTGAGCCTGTAGTTTGTTTTATTAAATTCTGAGGTGCTCTTAAAGTGTCTTTCTTGTCCCTGTACAAAATATTTGGCTTTTTTTTTTGGTACCAGGAATCAAACTCAGGACTTTGCACTTGCAAAGCAGGTGGCAGAACCACTGAGCTAAATCCCAGGCCCTGGCTTCTTTCTAAAGCTAATATTTTTCAGTCACCATGTTCTCCTTTGTCCCAACTTTTCAGGTGCTTCCTTCCTGGCAAAGCTGTAAACTCTTCAAATGTTTCAACTCTGCATTTCTTCATGATTCTTACTGTAGGTCTGATTAAAAAGAACTGGCAGTACCTATGCCACAGCCTGAATGCTGGGCTGCCTTAAAATTTCCCCGACCAGGTTAATTAGTGCACCACGCTTAATCTCAATATCTGGCAAAGTCTCAGTATATTAGCCAAATGTAGAAAAAATTCTTGCCAGAGTATAACACACATATAGCTTCTGGCCCAATTGGCAGTGGAGTCCTTATTCCCAACTGGGATCTCCTAAGCCAAGCCTTTACTGTCTGCCTCCCTCTCAGCATTCTGCTTTTCTGAACTCTGACTAGTAGCACACCTCAAGCACTGCTCACAACATTCTGGGGCTTCTCCAACTGGCATCTTCAAGCCTTTCCAAACTCCTTCTGCAAAGAAGTTCCAAAGACTCCTGAAGCATGTAGTCATATATAGTCACAACAGTGATGTCTCTTCTGGGACCAATTTCCTGTACTAGTCATTCTGGCATCATTGAGACAAAATATCAAGCACTTAAAAGAAGAAAGGTTTATTTTGGTTCACTGTTTCAGTGGGTTCAGTCCATGGCATGCCAGTTAGCAGACAGAAATGGCACAGTGGGAGGGCCCAGCGGAGGAAAGTTGCTCACATCATGATGACCAGGAAGTAGAGAGAAAGGGGAGGAACTGGGGAGGAGAATATATCCTTCCAAGTCATGCCCAGTGACCTCTCCTTCCAAATAGTCCTCATCTGTTTTGAGGGACATTTTAGATCTAAATCATAATAAGTATCTTTTATTTAAGTGAGGCTTTATGGATAAGTTTAGCCAATGGATTATAACCAGAGATGGAAAAAGAGCAAGTATGCCTGCTCTGTCAGGAGGATCTCAAGTTTGAGGCCAGCCTGGGAAACTTATCAAGACTCTATCTCAAAGACAAACAACAAACAATCAAGCAAACAAACAAGGTACTCTTGAAAGACATTCCTGATGGAGTGGTGTTTCATCAGATTCCGCAAAGAGAAGCAGAAGCTGCAAGAAGAGACAGGGAAGCACCTTTTGGATAAAGGAGTAATAAATGCAAAGAGCCTGCATGGGAAAGCATGTGACATGTTGATAGCACAAATGTGGCCAGTGTGGCTGGAATCAGACGCACAGACATAGGCTCCCCTTAGGGAAGGATTCCCAAAAGGCCACCAGCATTGGTGCACCCCCTACAAGAGTCAAAGCACTGCAAGGGTGCATCTGCCACAGAATGTACACATGGAAGCAATGCCTACCTGCTCTCTTCCTAGCTCATGCTGCCAGGTGGGATGTAAATGAGGAAAAGTGGCACAATGTAAGGATGCCAAGAATGGAAGCCAAGAGATGAGCTATTGTAAAAGTCTAGTTGATTCTGGTGGCTTAGCATAGGTTGGTGGCAGTGTTGATGGAATGAAATGACTAGATTTGAGATGTACTGTAAAGGAGACAGCAGGATATACCACATGGATAATGAAGAGGAAAAAATTGAGGACATCTGGGTTTTTGGTTTGAGCTCGAGTCAGTGATGATGAATCTGCTAAGAGAAAGAGTAGGGAGGAATAGGTCTCAGGGACAAAACCAACCAGAAGAATCTCTTAGATGTGCTGGGTTTGAGATGGTTATTTACACCTCACAAGAGGTTTCAAATGGGCATATAGATTGGGAGTGGAGTAGCTAACAGGGCAGGGCCAGGCGTAAACATGCTACTATTAGGTATATTTAGAATCATAGGTGAGACCAATAGGGAGGGGACTGCTAGAGAGAAGGGTCTCCAGAGGGAGCCCTGAAACATTCTAATAATTAGATATCTGTAGAGAGAAGGAGCCAGGGAAGCAGACAGAAGGGTTGGCCAAGGATGAGGGCCAAGGAAGAACATGAGAATATTTCTTTCACTGGTAAGAATAAATTTTATTTTACTTATTTATTTATTATTTGAGACAGGGTCTTGCTATGTAGTTCAGGCTGGCCTCAAACCTGCAGCCATCCTCCTGCCTCAGCTTCCTGAGTGCTGGGATTACAGGCCTGGGCCACCATACCCGGCAGGAACTGTACTTTGAATTCTAATCTTTTTCCAAGTCAGTAGTATCGTGATTTCTCTTGATGCTGGGCAGTAGCAGTGAACTGCAGTTCCCAGTCAGCCACGATTGTGAGGAGAGCCAATCGGCGCTCTACCCTGTGCTGTTGTCAGCATTTAACAAAATACATTCAGTAAATTACATGAGATATTTAATCCTTTATTATAAGACAGGCTTTGTGTGTTAGATAATTTTTGCCTAATTATAGGCTAATGCAAGTGTCCCGATCACATTTAAAGTAGGCTGGGCCAAGCCGTGATGTTTAGTAGGTTAGTTGCATTAAAAGCATTTTTTACGTATAATGTTTTTAATGTACAGTGAATTTTGGGAAAGTAACCCCAATATAAGTTGAGGAGCATCAGTACTTAAAAAAAAAAAACTTCCTCTTATCATAACTCACCCAATCTATGTAACTGTTATTGGCAACAGAAAACAAGGGCAGATGTTAAAGGAAGAAAATGCTTGGAGCGGGCTGGGGATTTGGCTCAGTGGTTCTGGTGCCTGCCTCACAAGCATAAGGACTTGCATTGGATCCACAGTACCAAAAAACAAAACAAAAAAACAAGAAAATGTGTGGAGTAACAAGAAATTAAATAAACTAGATGTCCAAGTTCAGCTCACCAGACTTCGTATGGGATTCCCGAACTACTGTTCTTAACTCTTTCTCTACTGGAGGACACACAAGGAAGCAGGACACAGTGGTGGTGATATTAGTGGGGACGGGACAGACCATTTGAAAAACTGTATCTGAGCCTTTTCCCTGCCAGCTCCCAAATTTTGTAGACATTAAATGTGCTTGTGTTTATTGGGTGTGGATCATGCTGGATGTTACATTAAGCACTGGGGATATAGTAGAGAGCTAGACTGGATCCCTACCCTAAGGAGCTTAGGGTCTCGTTAGAGGGGGGGGGACGCTCATTCTATTGAAGACCGGTTGCCTATTGGGATATGGTATCTGCATATATGCACACAGAGGGCACACACTTCACCCAGTTTTTAGGGATTAGGAGAGACTTCCTGGAGAAGATGATGTCGGAACTGAGGCCTGAAGGATCAGAAAGAACTAACAAGAGAGCTTAGTAGGTGCGGGCAGCACATATCAAGCCACAGAGCAGAAAGGAAGTACTGGCGTGTTTAGGGAGTTGTGAATTCTTGCACAACCACTTACTTGCTGAAGCACGTAAATTTTGTATTCGTAAATTTTGTATTCGCGTTTTCAGATTTTTTTCTTTTTTGGTACCGGTGATCCAACTCCGGACCTTGTGCTTGCGAGGTAGGCAAAGGAACCACTGAGCTAAATCCCCAGCTCCTGACACCCCCACCCCCACCCCCGCCCCAGGGCGTGTCTCACTGTGTTGTCCAGCCTGCTTTCTAGCTCCTGGCCTCAAGTAATTCTCCCACCTTTGTCTTCCAAGTGCTGGGATTACACCACTCTGCCCAGCTAAATATGCATTTTTTTTTTTGTTTTGTTGTTTTTTTGAGACAGGGTCTCACTATGTAGGAGAGACTGACCTGGAGCTCACTATGTAGTCCAGGCTGGTCTCGAACTCACAGCGATCCTCCTGCCTCAGCCTCCCAACTGCTGGGATTACAGGCATGAGCCACCACGCCTGGCTCTAAATATGCATTCTTAACAAAATACACAGAAGCCAAGGAAATATGCCTAAAGCAACATTTCCATAAAACAGTATTTTTCATACTTCTGTACTATTGCTATCTTTATAATTTTCAAACTAAAAAGCTAGGGTGTAAAAAACAAGTGCAAGCTTCCTTCCTTCCAACAGTCGAGTTTCACGTGGGCACGGGCAGCCACCCCGGAGAAGGCTCCTTTTTCATAGCTCAGGGTTCCTCAAACTTCTCTCACAGCAGACTCGAGACCTAAAGTCGCGAGGCGGTCCCGGGTAGGGGGAAGTTCCCTTTCTTCTGGGGAGCCAGAGATCCCTTTAGGAGTTGAGCCCGAGCTCCGCCCCACCGAAACTGCTGTGGGCGTGGCCTGGACGGGACTGTGCAATAGCGACCAATGAGATCCTAGGGGGTGGGCGGGACCGAGCGTGGCTTCCGCACCGCCCCCGCCGCCGGCCGGTCTTTTCTCAGCCTCCGTGGCTTTCCTGTCAGGCCCCGGCTGCTTGCTCCAGGGTGGGAAGGTGGAGGGCCACTGCCGCAGGTGAGTGTCCCGCGCCTCTTCCGGTGCCCCGCTTTCCCAGAAACGCCCGGAACCCTTGGTTGGAGGTGTGGTTGCCAACACGGTCTCCGGAAAGCCGACAGGGCCGGGTTTGCTGGTGTTGACTGTGCTCCGGGGTTAGCATTCAGGGCCGGCTCCGTGGGACGCGAGGTTCCAGGGCTGGGCCCCTAGCCTGGCTGCTGCTCCGGGGTCCGACAGGTTCAGTAGGAGGCGCTGTAACTGTGGGTGATTCCCGTTCCAGTGAAGTTGGAGTGCACGCGTGGAGCTAGCTCATCCTGGGATCTTAGCGCCTGCACCCTTGCTGCGGCAGTTGGTTCCCGTTGCCGGTGCGGTGCGTCTTTTCCTCCGCCCACTAGCGGGCTCGTTCAGACAGGGCTGCCTCAGCATCCGCGGGCACTGCGGCCCAGGAAAGCGCGCGCTAGCCTTTGACTTGCTCGTGGAACGAGCCGGGTTGGCTCGTGTTTTGACTCGATCGAATGAATTGGCTTTCAAAGTTAACGTAGCTCTGAGTTTTCTCTCTAAGTGTAATTTCATGTAAAGCAGTCACAATGATCAGAAGTATTGCTTCTGCGCAAGAAAAGTAAAAGAGTGTTGGAAGTGTCCTGCAGAGTCCACGTTTGTCCTACTTGTCTAATGAGAAAATTGAAAGGCGTACAGTTCCGGATTGATTTTGCTGCTGTCAACCTTTGTGGCCATGGGCTCTGTTAATTAAGGTGAAATGAGATAGGATTTCTAAGATTCTTTTTTTTCTTTCTTTCTTGGTACCAGGAATCGAACTCAGAGCCTCGCGCTTGCCAGGCACTGTGCTGTTGAGCTATATCCGTAAAGCTTACATTTTGTAAGTTTGTGCTGAGCTTATTTTGCATCCTGCAGTCTTAAAAGGAATAGGAAATAGAGTTCATGAAAGGGCAACCCAGCCGGGAACAAAGATTTATGAGACACAGAAGTTTAGAGATTGATTGCAGCTTAAGACTGCAGACCGAAAAGGCAGCACCAAGTAAAATTGAACGAATTTTATCAAGAATTAATTATATAAGAGAAACTTAGAAAGTTTTCTTACGTACTAGAATTAGCTCTTTTTGCAGCTCAACAGATAAGGTCAGGTGAAAATAAATGTTAGGTAAATATATAAGAAAGTATAGTAGAAAGGATGGTTAACAATATCAAGTATAGGGAGAATTTTTGGAATTCTTTATATAGACATTTATATTCAGAAAATACTTTATTAAAAAGAAAATTTTGTATCTCATGCAGAAAAATTCTGCATTTATTCTGGATATGTAGAATTCCCCTGCACACATGTGTTTGTGTGTGTGTGTGTATGTGGATTGATTCTGGGGCTGTGTACATGCTAGGCAAGTACTGTACACTTGAGCTATAACTTCAGACCCAGTATGTTTGTTTTATTTTGTTTTTAACAGCTTTAAAGCTGGTGTTTGGCTGCAAAGGAGAGATAATACAATCCTTCAGAGAGACATTAATTTGAACGTCCCATAGCTGTGACTAAGAAAAGTCACTTTTCTTCTTAGGTTGTGTTGCTTCAGTTGTGAAAATCTGGATGGTACTTAATTCATGGGGTTGTAAGAATTAAATCCTGCTGGAAAATGTATAACAAAACCTATTATCAGATATTCAGCAAAGACAGCTGTTGTTACTGTTGTATTCATAATTCAGCAAAGAGAAGCAAGCATTCACTGATTTTTGTCTGACTTAGAGTATGGCCAGAAGAGTAAGACCTAGTGGGAAGAGATCTAGTCGCAGCCTGACCCTGGATTTCTGGTAAGCTTAATCTTTTCCCTGGATCTCTCGCTGAGATGCTGCCCAGACAGTTGGCTGCTAAGGACCCTTCAATCTGATTGTCTTGGCCTGTAAGTCTTGGCATTTCAGCAGAGTTGAGATTTTTTCCTGAAAAGCTACCTTGGAAGTTAGTACAAGCCCTTTAGAGAGAGATAAAAGCAAAGAAATAGATTAGTTTACTGAACAGGGATTGAAGCCCTGTCACAGTTTGCTGGGGTCTGTACAGTTTAGTGGACACAGGCTCACATATTCTAATCTTAGCAAGCACCTCTTCTTGATTGGATGTTCAGCCACTTCCTGAGGCTTCCTGGTTCTCTCATAAGCCAAATCATTCTTTCTTTTACTCTGCAAACATTAATGAAAAGGCCCAACAATAGTAACTGCTCAGGGATCTAACGTTAGTGTTGGAAAGGAAAACAGAAGAGCTAAGAAGTTGTTTTTAACTTTCTTACTAGACAACTTTTAAGCACTGTAATTGAATAGAAAGTATTTTTTATCGTGTGGTCAGGAATGCTGATGCAGGAGTGAATGGTCATTCATGGAAGATGAGTTTTATTTTGACAGTACATCTGAAAGCTAATGAGTACGTGATCCATCCCATGTGATTCAAAGGATTGAGGCAATTGCACAACAGTTGTTACAGTTTAGAATTTACATGATTAATCCAGAGCATTTGAATTTTAATCTAATTAAAAACAATACCAAAACTGACAGAGGGAAAGGCCTAAAAATAGTGCCATGAAACTAGAAAGTTAATGAGGTGGCGTGAGGTTATATGGCAATATAGATCATTTTTTTAAATATTAAAGACTAATTATGATAGGCGTGGTGGCACACACCTATAATCCCAGCACTTGGGAGGCTGAGGCAAGAGGATTGTTGTGAGTTCCAGGCCAGCCTGGGCTACATAATGAGACCATTTCTTAAAAATAAAAACTCCAAAAAATTGGTTATAATCTTATTTCCCATAAACTTTTGCTAGCATTTTGGAGGCTGTCTTGTGTGTGTGTGTATGTTTTGTGTGTGTGTGTCCACGTGGTAGATATATATTCATTATAAATAAGATGACTAGAAATCAACTATAAGGTCATCACTGAAAAGCAGCTACTTGGGCCAGGGAGTTAGCTCAGTGGTTCCACCGTCTGCCTTGCAAGCGTAAGGACCTGAATTTGATCCCAAGTACCAAGAAAAAAAAGCAACTACTTTGAAGAATGATTTAAATGGTCATTGTGTCCTATGGTATAACTTGGTTATCATTTATGTGATTTGGTGATTTTCAGTAATGGCACAGATGCTTGGGCTGCATCCCTGCAATCCTCATTCTTGGTATTCATGTGTGAGGCGAACGTGATAACCGCTACACTACTGAAACCGCTCTCTAGATTTACTATTAATATGTTCATATAGTTTATAACTTACAGTGTTAACCATTATATTAGTTATAATTTAGCAAGGCAAAGAGTTACCTATAGGTATTAAATGTTTTCGAGGATAGTGAGAGGATGGTATGCATGTTTTTGTGGATAATGAAAGGAATTTAGGTGACAAGACTTGCTTTTTGGTACTGAAATTCATAAAACATTTGATGATCTTCTGGTTCTGTGCTCAGGGACCCCACTGATTTGTAACTACTTTGAGTTTGGTTAAGATATACAAATAAGGAAAACTGTTGTTAGATTTATATAGTGTCTTCTCTGAGCTCTTTATACTTCCTCTCAGCTTAAGCAAGCTCCTTGGGCTTGTTGAGAACTGGCATTTTGGGCAATAGTGACTTGTGATAGGCTTCTGGGAAATGTAGACTTGGGAAATTCCTGCACACGTGAAAAATAAAAACATTGGGCATATTTCTTGTCAAAATTATTACAATAAATTAGAAATTTCATTTTAAACTGATAATATAGTTGAATTAATATATATAAAAATGTATTTGTGTTCCTTGTTAATGGGCACAAGGCCAGATTTACCAGATCAGATCACATATATCTGTGGAACACATGTATCATGAATGGAAGGCTGAGCTGTGTCACGTGAGCGTATCACAGTAAGGGAGGACCACGAAGGGGAGAAAATTGGAAGACAACACTTACTGAGTGTCTTTAATATTTATAATATTTAATCCCTACAATAGGCCTAAAGCTAGGCATTTATTCCTCTTAGTGAATAAGAACATGTGCACTACCCATAGTTGTATTAGCTGTTGTGATGATGATTTTTGGTGAAAATATCTACATTGCTGGTTAACAGGAACTTCCTGAAGGAGATAATATGGCTCTGACCCAGATCAGTGTCTTTCCTGCATGCTAAGCTGCCTTGCAGTTAGTGACGTAATATGGCTAAGAGAAGGGAGCTGACATTATCAGAGTTTACACTAGAAGTAGTTTTGTGGTAATTTTAAATAATTGTCACATTACTGCAATGATGCAGGTTTGTAACATTTATCTGCTCCAGTGTACCTGATGCCTCTTCTTAGGGACTCACTAAGACAGTGGCAGATGAATAGCAAATATTTACTGCAGGAAGAAGAAGGAGCCAAGATAAAGCAGACTATCCAGAAAACTGCTACCACCACACTACCCTGAATGCATACGTGCACAACAGTGTTAACCCAGCACAAGACTTCTTAAGGCCTGAGTGAAAATTAAGGGGACTTAATGTTGAGGATTGTTGTAGGGATCTTCAGCCCCAGATGGCACTCTCTGAAAACCAGGGAGTTAGAGAAGAAGCATCCTGTGTGACAGATTGTAACTTTGAATAACCATCTTCTTGTTTCCAGGAGAAAACCCTGTTGAAGACAATGCTTGTCTGATTCTAAGGAGAAGTGACACAATGTCAGCTCTCAACTGGAAGCCCTTTGTCTATGGAGGGCTGGCCTCCATCACAGCCGAATGCGGTAGGCGGCCCTAAGTCTTACGGTGTTTGCAACTTCCTAAGGCTTCCATTTGCTGATTGATGTGATGTTGTTCAAATGTACTAAACAATCTCAGAATTCAGAAATGCCTTCTCTTCATATTGTATGTTTTGAAGACCAAATAGTCATTGTGGCTTCTTACTAGCAGTTGATAGTTCAAAGTGCAGCAGGGAGAAAGTTGAGCCTGTTGACCAAATAAAAGTTATGACTTCTGTTTGGATTGATTCTGTCCCTGTTTCCCTTGTCCTTTTCCCCACTTTGCCATTATTAACCATTTGGTTGTAAAGAGGTTTGAAAAGCTCAAGCATCTTCTCTGAGCCAGATTAGATTGCCTGTACTTAGTAAATCACTCTAATTTTGTATATTGCCCATATTCTATTGTATTTTGACCCCTGTTTATTCTCATATCATTCATTCAATGTTCATTGTTTGAGCAACTTCTGAGCACCAGTGCTGGGATGGATATTTCATTTGCTCAGTTGGCCTTCCAAAGTTTGTTAACCGCTCACCTAGTGGCTTGGGTTCTCTGTGCTAGTGGGCTTTCAGTGAATGAATTGATAAATTTCAGTGAATGATTCTCTCACTGAATAATTAACCTTGATTCAGGAATCAAAGTTACTGTTCAAGGATGGGTTTTGTATATTTGGAGATATGTGTGTGTGTGTGTTACACACATACATATATACATATATATTTCAAATTTCAATGCATATTTATATATTTGGGTTAGGCACTATATTAAATATCTCTACCTGCATTATCAGATTTAATTTTAGATTATAAAACACTCCTTCCTAAGTGAGAAACTCCTTTAGAAAATGAATTTACCTCTCTCAGTTGCATTAAATTTTGGTCTTCATAAACATACAGAATAATAACTTTGGTTTTTAAATGGATTTCTATTTGTGTGAATGATTCTAGTTATCTGTTTTCCATAGCAATGCAGTCTCCTTCAATCTTTTATAGAATAAGATGATGTATACATAACACTATAAAGGAAGAAATTTATGCATTTTTTGGTTTTATTAAACCAAAAAGATTGCACAGTTCCCACTATTTTTTTTTGTTTTTGTTTTTTTGTTGTTTTTTGAGACAGGGTCTCACTATGTAGTTAAGACTGACCTGGAACTCACTATGTAGCCCAGGCTGGTCTCAAACTTGCAGTGATCCACCTGCCTCAGCCTCCCGAGTACTGGGATTACAGGTATGCGCCTCCATGCCCAGCGCCACCATTTCTTAATGTTTCTTATTTTATATGATAGTTTGAATGATCCCTTAGTAATATATCACTCTATATACTTACTGAGTATCTTTTTACTAAGTGAAGTACTCCTTTTTTTTTTTAAGGCACATTTCCAATCGATTTAACTAAGACACGGCTACAGATTCAAGGCCAGAGGAATGATGCAAACTTTAGAGAAGTCAGGTATCGAGGAATGTTGCATGCTTTAGTGAGGATAGGCAGAGAAGAAGGGCTAAAGGCACTGTATTCAGGGTGAGTAACGTGTGTGTGTGTGTGTGTGTGTGTGTGTGTGTGTGTGTGTGTGTGTGTGTATATATGTATGTATATATGTGTATTTTTGGTTTTTTGGTTTTTTGGTACTGGGGATTGAAGTCAGGACCTTGCACTTGTGAGGCAGGTGTGGTGTCACTGAGCTAAATCCCCAGACCTACAATATTTATATTTCACTGTTGACTCTTTCAAAAGAATAGACTTAACCCTAAGCCTTCATAGAGAAAAAGTAAACATTTGATTTGTACCTGAAAAGAGCAATTAGCACAATAGATTTTGATTTCAACTATTTTTTTAAATATGTATTTTATGTAGCATATATTTTGGTGATACTGCTTTTATTATATGTAAATGCAAACAACAGTACAAAAATTGTGTTTGTTTAAAACATCCTGTTTTTCAGTTTCTCACTCTTTGAAAAAATAACCCTTTGCTTTAGCTATTCTCAGTTGTGGTGGTTTTTGCCAAATGAAAATGATGTAGTATGGATAAGAGTTGCACTTCACTCAGCATTTAGTGTACAGTGTTAACAGATGGTGTTCTGTAGGCTCTGGATGGGAGGGTGAGTAAAACATCCATTGGATAGTTTATGTGAAGAGTCAAGAGAAATGAAAGGTCAAGGAAAAAAATGGAGGGTAGGTGTTGATACTTGGAAACTAGCAAGATGAGAACTTGATACCAAACCAGGGTCCGGGGAGCAAAGGCAGGATAGTGTTACCAGACCCCAAGAGGGCTGGAGCCTCTAAGTGGAGGACAGTAGTTACCAAGGGATGTGTTAATAATACCTAGAGACGAGGAAGAAGTCCTCTTTTTCTTTTCCTCCCTCCCTTTTCCTATTGGCTGACGAGCTGGCAGGGGAGACTCAGTGATGTAGTACATAAATGTCAGCCTCTTAGGGGACGGAGAAGGGTGAGCAAGGATGTGGGAGGACAAATGAGGATCAGCAGCCTCACGTTGTCTGTAAGGAATTGTCGATGGAGAATGAAGGTGTGGAAATGGTAGAGAGAGCATCAATCCCAGACTAGGGGGAAGAGAGTTGGATGTTTTTAGGAAAGTTGCTGCGACTAAGAGGCACCAGATCAGACCTTGAAGGATCAAAAAGTGTTAGCTGGGTGAAATTAGAGAGGAGTGGTATTCATATGGGATAGCAGTATGTGCAAGAGAGCATGGTACTTTCTATGAACTGCAGTTAATTCAGCATAGATGTAATGTGGGGATTGGAGAGTAGCAAGAGATTGAGCTGGAGTGGTAATAAGGGGTCAGGACATGGACAGTGTCATGCTGTGCCAAACACAGATCCCAAACGTGTGGCCCGTCACCCCTTCATGGACCCTCCAATCCCAAAGGTTTTTGTTTTTCAATTGAATTGATATTTTATTTATTTATTTACTTATTTTTTTGGTGCCAGGGATTGAACTTGAGATCTTGTACTTGTGAGGCAGGCGCAGGCAGAACCACTGAGCTAAATCCCCAGCCAGAGCTGATATTTTATTGATTGAGATGGGATCTTTCTGTTACCTAGGCTGGCCTTGAGCTCCTGAGCTCAAGCAATCCTCCTGCCTCATCCTCCTGGCTCGCAACATTACGTATTCATACCATCATGCTTGATTCAACCAATATTTAAAAAGTGAGAAATTGTGCATAAAATTCTGAGATTCCATGTTCTCAAGAAGAATCAACATTGTACCCATATTCATTTACATATGATAATGTTGGCTGGTGTTAAGTATGCTTTCTCTGGCTTGTAAAACCTCTGACACAAAGCAGTTGTGTACAGTTGGACTGAGATTGCTTCTCTCATTCACTTCTGCCTATACCTGTAAGCATTTGAGTTTGTTATACCTATGACAGACAGAAGACACTGAAGGTTTTTTCCTTGTTCACTTTTTTATTAGTATATATGTTTATGATGTATAATAAATACATTCATTGGAGGTTTTAAGTAGGAGGACTAACAAGATTTCCATTTAAAAGTTGCCTGGTTGCCATGGGTAAGAAGAGCTGATGTCTCTAGAAGCAGAACTGTCCTACTGAGGCAGAAAAGATGAGAACCTGAGCTGAGGTATTATTTTGGGGGATGAGAGGAAGAAGACAGACTAGAAAACTGTTCAGGATGTTGGTCGGTAGTATTATGAAATCCGCATATGTGAGGCATAGTGAGGAACTATGAGGACACAGGTTAAAGGACTTCTGGTTTTGGCCAGTGTGGAGTTAGAGGTCCCATTTCCTGGTTTAGGAAATGGAAAGTGAGAGTTCATTCTGTGGGAGAAGAGATAATCACATCAGTGTGGGACATTTGACCTGGGGATCTATGGGGATCTCTGTAGGTCATCTAAAGTGAGAATGTAGGAAATTGGACTCGTGTCTTTGGGTCATTGTTGGAAACGGATTTAGGAGTCATCAGTGTTCAGGTGCTAGTTGCAGCCACAGTTGTATATGAGGAAGTAAGGCAGGGGCTGTGTGGAGTGAGGAGAGAAGGTAGGGCAGAATTCTGCAGATCCTAGAGAACACAGCTATGCTTAGGGAAAAGAGGTGAGACAGGGTGGTACCACTGCCTGTGAGGGAGGAGACAGCTGCTAGAGGGCCAAGGGTGGCCAGGAGTAAACATTACAGAGGTTATACAGGGACCACTGAAGAGCATCATTTAATTTATCAACAAAATTGTCACTTGATCACCTTGGTGAGAGGGAGTTGAGGGAGAGGGTAGAGAGAACCAGGATTTAATTGAACCAAGATGTAATTGTAGAGGGAAGTAGGAGGTGCAAAAAGAGAGCTGAGGGTGTAAATGCCACAGGGTGGTTCCCGGTGGGGAGGATTTGATGGGGGTCATATAGGATGGAGGAAAATTTGCTTGTTTTTCCTGATTCTGTTTTAAAGTTGTTTGAATATTATGATGGCAAAGCTTTTAGGGAGAGGAATAACTTGGTAAGTCCCCGAAGAGTTAATACATGAATTTCATAGAGGTGCTTATGGTGTGCCTCGTTTGGGCTAGTTTTCCCAGCAGCTTTGTACTGAGACAGGAAAGCCCTTGCATTTAGTGTAAGTGGGGATTAACAAAAATGAAGATGTTAGGTACATGTCCTGATTTCCTGTGGTGAATGTAATCATTACAAAATACAAACATACTCATAAAAATTAATGAACACATGAATGGACACTTTTGTATTCTGTTCATTTATATTTTCACTGAGCATAAATACGAGGCTAATCTCCCACTTAGTGAACTAGTATTGGCACAAATTTCACTGAACCCACTTGTATTTTTGTTGGATTTTGTATTTTAATGGGTCTCTGTGGATTTTGAATCACTTTTAGATGGTTTTATCCCCTTGCATTTTGGTTCAACAGGATTTCCCCTGCAGTGCTACGCCAGGCTTCCTATGGAACCATCAAGATCGGCACTTACCAAAGCTTAAAGCGATTGTTCGTTGAATGCCCTGAAGGTGAGTGGTGAGTCTGTTTTCCATTTGGGGGTTTTGGTGATGGAGCAGAAAAAAATTTAGGCTTAGATGCATTTCATTTATTACAACAGGGGAAAAGTTCCCTTGTTTTGTGGGTTCATTAAAAATAGATGGCTACATGTTTTACTCAAGTCTAGGGTACTTATTAGTAATTATTTCTTTTTTTTTTTCAGTAGTTATTTCAGAACACATTTTCTTATTCATCATTTTTACTTTAGGAAATACAAAAATATTTATTTACTATAATTAGTTAGATATAATGTATAAGACAACCCTACTGGGGAATACAGCTTCCTTACCTTGTTGGTCATTTAATTCTAGTGGTTTTAGAGCAAATTTTCCTTAGCTTACTTGTGACTTTACTACAGCTAAGGAGAAGTCCAATGTAGAGTCTAAATGAATTTTGCTCAGCTCTCAGCTGAACTGAGAGGAGTATCACAAAGTGCCATCTTTACAAACATTTTAATTAATTGTCCTTATCTTAAATGCCCAGACTAGAGGGTATGTTGTTACCATTTAATCCAACATAAAGTCATGTGAATTATTACCGTTTTTTTAGGAAAGCACTGAGTACGTTTTTTTAGTGTTAAGAGCTCTAAGTTCTGTGACTCTGTGGCAGGTTGGTTCTGTGACTTTGCTTTAATCTAAAGAATTGTCTATCTTTTGCACCCCAGTGGAATGAACTCCAGTGACTATTACATGAGTGGTGAACAAGAGCTTTGAAAGATGCTTTAAATGTCCTTAACTAAATGCGTATGCTTTAAAAACTTTACCTGGCAAATAAATCTCCATGTTATCGCACAGGAATGTGGACCTTTCTAATTCCCCTAACAGATATATCTCATCTTAATTACAGTGACCTGAATTTGCATACAAAACTCATTTGGTAGTTTGTTACTCATGTTGCAGAATGATTCGTTTTTTAGAGATCAAGAAATTTTGCTAAGTAAAATTCCTTTAGCCAGCAGAATTCCTTTTAAAACCTGCATTTTGTTTTGTTTTATTTTGAGACAGGGTCTCACTGTGTAGCCCAGGCCATCCTCAAACTTTCAGCAATCCTCCTGCATCAGCTTCCCAAATGCTGGGATTAGAGACATGCACTATCACACCCATTCGGAAAAATTGTTTGATTTATAAAGAATAAATTAAAGCTAGGTGTGGTGGTGCATGTAGTCCCAGCACTCAGGAGGCTGAGACAGGAGGATTGCTATGAGTTCGAGACCAGCCTGAGCTACATAGTGAGTTTGAACCCAGCCTGAACTGTAAAGGGAAACGAAGAAGAAGTAGAAAAGAATAAGTTAAATAACACATAAATGAGTAATACTAAGATAATATTTTGAGTTACAGAAAGAATTCTATCTGTATTAAAAGTAAAATAATATGTCTATTTACAGATGAAACCCTACTGATCAATGTCATATGTGGGATTCTCTCTGGAGTTATATCCTCAGCCATTGCTAATCCAACTGATGTTTTGAAAGTAAGCTGTGCTAGCTCTTTTAGAGATACATTTCATGTTTTCTTACTGGGAACAGTATTCAGATATTGAAAGTCTGTGAATATAATATGTGCTGTATATATGTGAATGTGTTTATAATGTGTCATATAGTCTTAACTTTTAACTAAATGGATTTCCTACTGATGTAGATGAGCTCAAAAGTGGAAGTCATTTTGGATTTTGTCATAAAGGATTTTGGTGACTGAAAATAAAAAAAATTTAGGCTTAGGTACATTTCATTTATTTTTTTCATAGAAAATATCTCTTGTTATATTGGTCATTAAAATGGATGGGCTACAAGTTTTATACAACTCTAGGTTGTTTATTAATAATTATTTCTGAACATATTTTATTTCAGGAAATAAAAATTAAAATATTTACTTACTGTAGTTAGATATAACACATTATATAACTTTGCTGAGAATGCTAGGAATACAGCTCCCTTAAATATGTTTTGGAATAAGACAACAGAATAACTAATGAAGTCAAGTAAAAATTCCATATAGGTTACTTTCTAGCTGGGAATGGTGGCACATGCCTATAATCTCAGCACTTGGGAGGCTGAGGCTGGAGGATTGCTGTGAGCTTGAGGCCAGCCTGGGTTACGTAGTGAGTTCCAGGTCAGTTTTAACTACATAGTGAGACCCTGTCTCACCCCCCCCCAAAAAAAAAGTTACTTTGTAAAGCCTCTCAAGGCATTCCCTCCACCATCTTTATTATTTTACTCATGTACTCTGCTTCTCCCTGTGCTATGTGCTTAGCATCTCAAATGAGTAAGAAGAGGACCCTACCCTCAGGGAGCCTTCAATATAGAAGGAGATTCTGACAAACATCGAGACTGTATTTAGTGTGTTGGGTACGCTGTAGTTATTCGTGTACTACAGGGAACATCTAGCATGTCTGAAGAGAAGTATAAGGCATTTTCTGCTATATGTTTACCTTGTATTGGGGTAAGAGAAATATATACACTCTCTTATTCACTTCTTAGACGTATCTCAGGACTTGTGGAAAGGCAGTTCCTATTTTTTCCCATGTTAGTGTGTCAGTAACAGATTCTTTTAGAAGTTAGTGATAAGACATGAAACAAACCTAAGGTACCATTTTTTAAAAAATGAAAAATTTTTTTTCATTCTTCAGCCTGGACAACAGAAGACCCTGTGTTTTTGTTTGTTTGTTTGTTTGTTTGTTTGTTTTTGTACCAGGGATTGAACTCAGGTCTTTGTGCTTGCAAGTAGGCGATGGAAACACTGAGCCAAATCCCTGGCCCTTTTTTTTTCATTCTTAAGGCAAAGAGCTACATCAAACATTTTCTTCATGGTGGAATCTTGGTCATGTGGATCCATGACCTTTGTGAAGTTCACTAATAGTTCAAGTGTAATGACATCATGTGGCCATCATGCGGTCTGTTTGCCTGCATACTTTTTGGTTCTGCAGGTTGGCAGTAGTGGCTTGGAACAATTTAAGACCTATACCTGCCTGTGCTTAATGAAGCCAAGTCTCCTGGATAAGTCTAAATTATATTAGATCTTTAGAATTACCATCATTCTTTTCTACTTAGTAATCTATAGGGAAATACGCTGTTGCCTTTCCTTCCCAAAAGACTTTATTTATTTATTTATGTATGTATTTTTGGTACCGGGGATTGAACTTGGGTTCTTGTGCTTGTGAGGCAGGCGGCAGAACTACTGAGCTAAATCCCCAGTGCCTCAAAAGCCTTTGAGAAGTATTAATTTCTTCTGAAAAACTAAAGAGAATGACATGAAAGTAGAAAGGGAGCTATTAAAAAAGAGAAAAGGGACCAGAGGGATGAGGGGATTGTGTAAGAGAAGGTAGGGAGGGGTGGATATGATCAAAGTATTTATTATTTCCATGTGAAAGTGTCACAACATATTTCCTTATATTGTTCAATTAGTATGTGCTAATAATGGTAGTGAAGAAAAGTACTATTTTCACTTATTTAAAAATTAATTTTTGGAGACCTAGTGAAATACCATATGGAGTTGTTTCTGGATTCTACCAGGTGTTTTTCAGAGATTCCAGAGTTCCTAAAAGCTAGTCCTTATACCTTTTAGTCTACTGAGGACATTTTAAAGTGACATCAGTGTAACATTTATATTACGGTTTCTTCTAAGGGTTTCTAAACAATAGATAGAATGGTTTTCAGATGTATTCCATGGTGGTGGTGGGGAATGTGCTAGTTCCTTTCCTTCTCATGTTGCTCTTTAATCTCTAGATACGAATGCAAGCACAAAATAGCACCGTTCAAGGAGGAATGATAGGCAACTTCATTAACATTTACCAGCAGGAAGGGTCAAGAGGACTCTGGAAGGTAAGATTGAAGAACAAGTTCCACTGACTGACTTCTTGCCATTTTTCTTTTAAAATGCGTATATTCCATTTTCATCAGTGTATTTTAATCCAAGTGGCATGATTGAGTCAAAGAGTGAGATGATTTCTTCCTCCCTTTTCCTGTAAAATGGGAATATATGAAAGAGACATGATTTTAAAGTATTTTTATTTTTGGTACCAGGTATTGAACTCAGGACCTTGTGCTTACCAGGCAGGTGTGGTGCTGCTGAGCTACATCCCTGGCCCTTAGAATATCTTTTGAAAAATTCATGTATGAGAAGTTTTGTGAAAGTTGAATACTTTTTTTCATTTGTTTGATTTTTTTTGTTTGTTTGTTTGGTTAAATCATTATGGAGGTTTCCAGATTCTACTTCCACTGAATGAATGATCAGTATGGTTTCATGGCTCTAAAGTGAAGTCTGTGGTACTAGCCAAGCGCTGATGTAGAGCACTCTTTCCTAGAATTTCAGTGACGTGTCAGTTCATAGAATATCACCCTGTATGAGCCCTCAGCGTGACACAGAAACCAGAGGCTCTAAGAGGCAACTTGTCCTGGCCAGTGTCTGGCCCAAGATCCACAGTTAGTGCCAGAGTGAGAATTAGACTGGAGCTTTTGCGTTCTTGCCTCCACATGTAAAATTTGGTTGTAGTTTGTGGAGAATCTCTGCATTCTACAGAAGACTATCTGAATCATTTTTTTTTTTTTTGGTTTATATTTTTATGCAGGGTGTGTCCCTTACAGCTCAGAGAGCTGCTATTGTTGTTGGTGTGGAACTGCCAGTCTATGACATCACCAAGAAGCATCTGATTCTCTCAGGCCTGATGGGAGACACTGTATATACCCACTTCCTGTATGTTTATGGATTTTTAAAGAAAATTAGTATTTTATGTATGCATAAGTTTAGGATGGAAATTTGGTATAAAGTTATAGAAATTTTAGATAAAGTTTATTATAAAGTATTATATTTTAATACTTGAAAAATTGTAACACAGAAGTGAAGCAGATCAAAGCTTTTAGCCCTTCACTTAGGTAGCTAGTGGTAAGAGTTTGTTCTGTACCTGTGTATACAGTATGTCTACAAAAGTATACCACATGAACTTTATTACAAAAGTAAGATTATCCTTTATTCTTTTTGTTTTGTTTTGTTTTGTTTTTGAGACAGGGTCTCATATGTAGTTGAGATTGACCTGGAACTCACTATGTAGTCCAGGCTGGTCTCGAACTCACAGTGATCCTCCTGCCTCAGCCTCCCAAGTGCTAGGATTACCTGGAATTACAGGCGTGCACCACCGCGCCTGGCCTTTATTCGTGCTTATTTGCATTTTGTTTTTGTTTTTCTAATGCTGAGGATTGAGCCTAAGGTTTTGAGCATGAAAGGCAAGCACTACAACTCAGCTATACTTTCAGCTCCTCTTATCTGCTCTTTAAAATTTAATAATATATTCTTTTTTTTGGTATTGGGGTTCAGACCCCAGGCCTTGCGCTTGTGAGGCAGGTGATGGAACCACTAAGCTAAATCCCCGGCCCTTAACAATATATTCTAAATGTCTTTCCATGTCAGTACTTAACAGACTTACTTTATTTTAGTGGCTTCAGATTATCACATTGTCTGAACACATAGATTATTTAATCCATTGGGACTGACTTTTCCCTGACTGGGGCACTTGGCAAAGTGTGCAGACTATTTTGATTGTCACCACAGGAGCACTATGACACCCAGTGGGTAGGGGCTGCAGCTCCAGCTAACTGTTTCAGAATTTCCATAAAAAAGAATGATCTATCTGGGCCAAAATAGGTGTAGTACAGAGGATGAGAAATCTTCTCTGAGTTAACTGATACTATAATTCGGGCCAGTTAAATTGAACAGAGTTATTTAAGCAGAAAAAGTCAAGAACTGGGTGTAGGCAATACGTATAGCCAGATGTGTAGGAGCGACATATAAATGGTCCGTGAAATTCACTTAGGATTTTTCAACTTTTCAGTGGTGTGAAAGTATACCCATACAACCATTCCGTTTTTCGCTTTCAGTACAGTAATCAGTACTTTATGTGAGGTATTCAATCCTTTACTATAAAATAGGCTTTATATTAGATTATTTTGCTTAACCATAGTGATCTGCATGTTTAATATATGCTAGACTAAGCTTTGATATTATGAAGATTAAGTATATGAAGTAAATTTTCAATTTATGATGTTTTCCAGTTTGGCTGGGTTTATTGGGACGCCTGATGCATTTCTGCATTTGCCTCATTTGGACACATTTTGACAGCTTTCAGCCTCTGACCAGCTGAATGTCTGGCTGACACTTGGCTACTTGTTACAGAAGTATACTCTCATTAGATTGTTGATACATTGAGTTGGATTACAGTTAGTTATATATGGAGACAGTTTTAGGCTAAATGTAATTCAGTTTAACAATACCTAATGTAATTTTTGATAATCTTGTAAAACTGAAAGTCTACTAGAACCTAGGACCCATAGTGGGCCATTACAGGAAGGACGTTCTTTTCTTTGACCTGTAGGAATGATATGAATTACTGTGATACCTGCTTATACATAAATAGATGGGCTAGAGTATCCTTGTAGGATGTTCCTTCCTTTGACTTTCTGGAGCCTCAAAAGTATTGTTAGCTGTGACTGGAATTTATAAGCCAGTATAAATCAGTGCTGATGTTTAAGAAGCTTGACTAGCTCTCTAGATATGTGTCCTATTCTTGACATATTTCGTGTTGTTCCATCTTACTTGAACATAGTTTTGGGAGAAGGTTGTTTCTTGCCTTGATAGTGGTAGTTGTGGCTGAGTGATGATTAACATTTTGGATTTTTTTCTTAATGCTCTCTTTTACACAGCTCAAGCTTCACCTGTGGTCTAGTGGGAGCACTGGCCTCAAATCCTGTTGATGTTGTGAGAACCCGTATGATGAATCAGAGAGTCCTTCGAGATGGCAGATGCTCTGGTTACACAGGCACCCTGGATTGCTTGTTACAGGTAAGAATGAATGTCTTCTGTGCAGTGTTGTGAAAGATGTGTGTGTGTGTGAGTGTGTGTGTGTGTGTGTGTGTGTGAGAAAATAAATAACTATATTTTGCAGCTATTAAAACTAGAATGAAGCTACAAGATCCCAATGATGTACCAATATAGTGTAACTATATTGTATACCAAAAATGTACCAATAAACTTAAATGGGGGAAAAGAAAAATAGGTCAGTCTGACAAATATTAATGCACTTGACATATTAGAGGAATTTAACCCTTTTTTCTTTTTAATAGACATGGAAGAATGAAGGTTTTTTGGCTCTGTATAAAGGATTTTGGCCAAATTGGTTGAGGCTTGGTCCTTGGAATATCATCGTATCCTTTTCTGTTACAGTAGATGTAAAAAAAGATGGAGCTAAAGAATATTGTTTGTATAAGCATTCAGAATATTCATTTCTATCTTACATTCTTATCCTTTTGAGTTCCTCTGGTTCTAGGAAATAACCAGTTTCTGTTTTAAGAAATATAAAGTCTGTTCTAGACACTGTGGATCTTAGTTTAATGATAATATATTAAAAGGTAATATATCAATACAAATTTTTTATTAAATTCTGCTCTGGAAGTTGGTATTTATGACTTCAGAGAGAGGGAGGGAGGAAGAGACAGAGATTGATTTTACCTCCCTTGCTGCCCTTCAAAAGATTGTGGTTGACAACAGTGTCCAAGAATGCTTAATGTAGAGACTGCCTGATACTAAATGGGAATTAGCTCTTTGATTGGTTGACTTATCTGTGTTTTTTCATTTATGCCAAAGTAGGAGACAGGAAAAGTTTGATAGACATGAAAAGGCAGTATTAAGTAGTAATAGCTGGGTGTTGGTGGCACATGCCTGTAATCCCAGCACTTGGGAGGCTGAGGCAGGAGGATTGCTGTGAGTTCAAGACCACCCTGGGCTACATAGTGAGTTCCAGGTCAGTCTCAACTATGTAGTGAGACCCTGTCTCAAAAACAAAACAAAACAAAAAACCAACAACAACAACAAAAACCACAAAGATTTAGTAATAATTGATTTTTTTCCATCCTCTTAGTGCTCTTCATCTGCTCCTCCTCCCTTCCCAAGGAAGGCGTCATAGCAGAAAGCCTAGAGGTGTTTCCCAGGGTTTGCTGACTATTTCTCACACAGCAGCTTATTGTTCTAGAGTCTTTGCAGCACAACAAAGTCACACAAGCTAATGAATGTGATGCTGAGATTAGAGGATGTGCAGACTGTGCTGGGATCTTTCTGTTCTAGCTGACCCTGAGCAGGCTTCAGGGAGAGCCTGAGAAAGTTAAGAATGGCATGCTCGATACTTAATCATGTCCGTGGCAGGGTCTCCCTGTACTTATTTGTTAGTAGGTGTACTAATTTTAGGTCTGTTTTTATGTGTCAGAGTTGGGAAGACATTTTCTTTGGCCGCCTTAACCCATAACTACAGTTTTTTGTGACATATGAACAGCTAAAGAAATTGGACTTGTGATGAGTCAAGGCTGCATGAGACACCCCTCTGAAAATGCTGTCTTCTGCAACAGTAGAGCTTTGGCATTTCTCTCTGCTTCTCACTGCTTGGCTCATCACCGATTCTGAGATGGGAGCAACAGATGAAGAATGGGATTAGTTCAGACTGCTGCGTGTTGGTATCAGACGCCTTTTCGTCAGTGTTTATTGGCCTAAACTAACATCTCAACACTAGTCCTTACCATCAGAGTTCCCTTTGATATCCAACATAATATATGAATGGTATGTTTCTTACTAAAGAAAACCAGGAATGGATACTGTTTCCTTCAGGGAGAGTAGCTCCTGATGCCTCCCAGTTTAGGGGGCAAATGTCAGACTGCTCTAACAAGTTCATAGAAATTATGTAATGGAACCTCTAAGAGGGTGTACTGTTTCTGAACAGCTGGGAGCTTTCGCTTCCTGTGAGCTGAAGACTTGTTCGCGGAAACTTGGACTTTTTAAGCCTGGGTATAGACAGTGCAGGGAATAGATCCTTTCACTGCTTTATGATTTCCTTTTTTTGTCAGGATCTTTCACTTATAATAAGTGATTTTTTAAGCCACTGAAGATTTAACCTTTGTGAGGAATTGTTAGTGTATTAATACATAAGTTAATGGGGGTGTGATGTGTTGACTTCAAAGGTTACAGTATATTGGTGGGAGATGTTTTCAAGCAGCTTGGCTTCTATTTTAGGTAATGTTAGTAATGCTCTGAGTTTTAGTGAAGTTTGTCATTTTTCGGTCTATAAAATAGGGATAGTAACATCTATTAAGGTAGGGATCAAATAAAAAAATAGTAGGCAGAGCTGGGCATGGTGGTCCATGCCTATAATTTTAATACTGAGAGGCTAAGGCAGGAGGTCTGCAAGTTCAAGCCCAGTCTGGGCAACTTACTGGACTTAGTGAGACCTGCCTCAAGAGAAAAAATTTAAAAGTGGCTGAGAATGTTGCTCAGTGTGAAGACCCAGAGTTCATTCTCCAGTATCACTAAAAAACAAAACAAAACAAAAAACCTAAAAAGCAAGGGGTGCACTGTGACGTGAAGAGTGTGTTTCTATCATTTTTACAGTTATAATCCCCAAACAGTCTACATAGGTAGGAGCAAGTTGTATTATCATGGGCTTCTCACAGTAATTGTGAGTGAAGCCTTTTCTTAAAGGCTTTGTTAAAGAAAGAATGCTGTGTAAGTGAAGGTTTTAATAACATTTTCCTTTGCAAACTGTTGGTAGTGAAGAATTGAGTTTCCCAGATTTCTAGTTTTTATTTTAGTTCGTGTTGTATCTGTTAATGTTTCCTGTCTTGGATACCCTAGTTCATTTGGTAGAAAATACTTGCTTGAAATTATTATTATTATTTTATTATTATTATTATTATTATTTGGCTTTTTGGGACTATGTAGTTCAGGCTGGGCTTGAATTTACGATGGCTGTAGTTCAGGCTGGCTTCAAACTCGAGCCAATCCTCCTTCCTCAGTCTCCCAAGCGCTGGGATTACAGGAGCATACCACCATGCCTAGCTTTGCTTGAAATTTTAAAGTTGTGGTTTTTTTTCAGTGCTAGGAATGGAACCCAGGGCCTTATGCATGCTAGACAAGCACCCTACCAACTGAGCTGTACTCCCCAGTCCATTTCTTTAGTGCATCTGTTTATCTAGCTTCTGATAAAAGGTATGTGTTTTTCTTGTTTGTTGTCTTCTAATGATGTGGAACATCATTTTCCTTCTTGTCTTCATCTTCTTTTTGAAGCAAAAGCTGTCTCCAAGAGCTTTCTATTTTTAGATGTCATCCCAGGAAAGTGGATATATTTACTTGGGTCTCTTCAAGGGTAACCTTTGAGAACCTGCTTCCTGGCAGGCCACTTATATATAGTGTGTGTCTGCCAGATCGATTTCTAGTTTGTGTAGGCCCTGGGGCTTCCTCCTCCTTGAGAGTCTTTGTGCATCAGGCAGTTTTCTTCCCAGCCATTTTCACTTGTCTTCTTTATTAATGTTTCCTTTGAAAAAATATTCTGTAAAGCAGAACTTTATTTCCAAAAGTAAGAGCTAAGACATCATAAAGAAAAAAGGTCATTGGTGGTATTAATCACCTAAGGAGTAACATGAAAGATCCCTTCTCCCTGGCTGGCACTAGATGGCAGTAGAGAACCCCCGAGGTCCTGCAGGCCTCCCTCCTGGTAATAAACCTTATGTGAAGAGATGTTTTTCTTTTTCAGAACATTCTGTGGATGTGATAGACTTTCTGTAGAGAGGCTTTCACTGAATTCTTTGAGTTGAAAGGATTGCTTTTTTTAACCACTCTTTATTAACATAGAAAACTTTTTTTTTTTTTTTTTTAATACTGGGATTGAACTCAGGTCCTTGCACTTGGGAGGAAGGTGCAGAACCACTGAGCTAAATCCCTGGTCAAAAACATTTTTAAAAGAATACATAGAAGCAAGTTCACTTTGAAGACCATATAAAGAGAGCATATCAGACAATCTTTATTATTTTTAGTTTCAGAGTACAGAAAGGTCCATATCAGAATGACAAGAAATTTAAACCTCACTGTAAAACTTTTGTTTCAAGACAAAAATACAATGTTTTAAGATAAAATACGTTGTAGTTTTATTATAAGTGCCTTATAGAACAGGATCTTAATCTGCTTCTACTGTTTCCTGAAGGAGTTAGAGTAGTTGTTGATGCTTCTAACCAAGAAACAACTTGAGGAATTGGGAGATTTGTTCCTCTTGTTTTCAGAGAAATAACTTCGGGAACTGGGATGCTTGCTCCTGTTATTTTAGGGGTGTGGCTACCAGTCCTCCCCCCGTGTGGAATATTACTCAAATATGAAAAAGATCTTGTAGTGTTTATAACTAATTTGAAGAAATTCATTTTGCTTTTGATTGTTTGCCTGTGTATTTGTGTGATCATTGATGCTAAATGTTGCTGATGCATCATATAAAATATGGCTCCTGTTCACTATATTTATTCATGTGTTACAAATAGTGTACATTATATAAGGAGAATACATTTTTCTTAAGCCTCCAGATTTTGGGCTCTTTATTTAAGCATTATTGGAATATGTGATGTAAACCTTGTTTCATTTCTTAATAAACTAATATTAATATATAAATATAATAATAATATGATTTGTGGTTATTTCAGATAAATGGAAACATTTTAACCAAGCCAAACCACAGAGAGTTGAGAAGGCTGGGATAGAAACAGTGTTTGATAGTGACAAGGGCTATTTCTCTGTGGCTGGGGTATTTGGGATCACTTTATTCATTGCCCAGTACCTGTGTGATTTCTCCGAACCCCATTATCTGAAATGCCCTGCAGCTCAACAGAGGCCAGCAAACTTGATTTGAGGCTACTTGGCAAGGCAGCCTGGACTTTCACAACTCCGATGTGATGACATCAGCATTGTGAGGTGTCTAGTCCTCTTAAGACCTGCCAGCCTTGTGTGTTGCTAGAGGCAGGGGCTGGAGTCCTTTGATATCTGTGGGTCAGGCAAGGACACCAGTTTGTAGAAAACAGCCAGTAAACTAAATGTGAACTAACTGTGCCTGTCTTCTTAACATTTGAATTAAGTGTGGTGGTTTACTAAGAAAACCTAGAACTGGGAAAAAGGGCAAACTTTTTGTTTTTATAAAAGACTTTTTATTTAGATCAGTTTTAAGTTCACAGCAAAATTGGCAGGCACAGAAATTGCTATATATTTCTCCCTTCTCCGTATTCCACGCCAGAGTGGTATCTTTGTTAGAATTTATACACCTACATCAACACATTATTATCCAATGCCCACAGTTTATATTGAGGTTCACTCTGTATGTTCTGTGGGTTTGGACATATGTATAATGACATGTATCCACCAATGTATCATACAGAATAGTTTCGCTGCCCTGAAAGGGATGAGACTTTGTCTTTATTCTCTGATCTAAGAGAGTAGATGAGGTGCCCTTATGTGGTGGACCATATGTGGAGGGCACTGAGAACAGCTGATGCTCTTTACAGACGTGGTGCTCACATATCTGAGCGGTGATTCAGTTGGATGAAGACACCTGCTAGGTGCATTTGGCTTTAAGGTATTGGCAGCTGAGAAGAAGAGATGAAAAATTTTCAGTAGATTTAAGTGGATACATTCTGCAGCAAATGGGAATACAAGACACAGTGGTGTGTTAATGTTTTGAAAAACAAGTAATAGAACCAAGGGTACCAAGAGAAAAAAGTTGGAAACCACTGAAATGCCTGTAAGTATCCCTGTAAAAACCAGGCCATGAGAAATGCTGCCATTGAAGTGAATGCTTTGATCTTAGAAACCAAGTAACAGTGTTTAACAGAGGGATTTTGGGCACACTTACTATAGTAGACAACAGGGCCACAATGACAAGCAATGCTTTGACTTGTGAGGGTCTCTGGTGTTATCCCTAGGAATGACATAGGTGGTCAGCCTACTCAGATGTAAGCTGACTTACATAACTCGAAGTTATACCTTAAGACTTCTGGCCTTTCACCCAGTTCTGAGACCTGAGCAAGTTCACGGACTTGGAGCCTGTGACACTACTGCAATACATACAAAAATCTGTGCTCAAACTGTAGGAGATTTATGCTGTGGAGAAGGAAATACTTGGGACCATTTGGGGATTTCTAAACACTAATTCTGAACTGGGGAGGAAAGTAGGCAATTGTTAGGCCAGGTTTCTTTGGTAACAATGCCAAAAGTCTTAGAGGTGTATAATAGCCAAAGCAAAGCTGGGAGTGATGGTGCACCTCTATAATTGTAGCACTTGGGAGGATAAGGCAGGAGGTTTGCTGTGAATTTGAGACCAGACTGAGCTACATAGTGAGTTCAAGGACAACCTGATCTACATAATGAGACTTTGTCTCATTCCCCTACCCCTGCCATAGCAAAACCAGTCTTGCTGATGCTCCATGTCCACCCCAGTTTGAAGTGGTTTTCCATTTTGTTTTCACTCTGGGATCCTGGCTGTAATCTCTGGCTGGAACATTGCCAGTCTAGTGGTACACGGAAAATAGATGAATGACAGTGAAGCACAGCAGTCAAAGCTATGCAGAAGTGACCTGGGTCCCTTCCACTTCGATTTCATTTGCTGAGTCACACGGACAAGACCGAATGGGGTTTGGGATGGACACTGTGTGCGTCTTCCATGGGGAGGGAGCCAAAATACTGGGCAAATAGTGCATCATCCTGTCACACATGAGGTAAGTGTTAGGCGATTTTCTATTATCTATTTAACTTGTGCATTTGGCCTGTGCAAAAAGCAGATAGGTCTTAGGGAATGAGCCCCATTATAAGTATAGCCAATTTAACCAATTGCTACTGTTGCTGCTGTTGTTGGTATTCTAGCCTGAACGAACGTTTTCAAAACAACCTCTATCACCAAGAAAGAAAATAGGAAAATAGTACTATTCCCAATAGCATCAAGAAAAATTAAATACTTAGGATTCAACTTAACCATGGAAGTGAAAGACCTCTACAATTAAAACTACAATCCTCTGAAAAAGAAAATAGATACCAGAAAATAGATACCATAGATTACTTGGGTGAGTAGAACCAATATATTTTTTTTTTAATTGAGCTTGGTACGTTTTAGGTATACAGTACGGTTACATTCATCATTGGGATATTGTACCTTTATGTAACACCTTTTTGTTTTTGGTTTTTTGAGGCAGGGTCTCACTATGTAGTTGAGACTGACCTGGAACTCACTATGTAGCCCAGGCTGGTCTTGAACTCAAAGCGATCCTCCTGCCTCAGCCTCCCTTGTGCTGGGATTACAGGCATGCGCCACCACGACCGGCCACGTACAGATCTTGGTTTTCATTTTTTCCCCATACCCCTGCCCTCCTT